AGGAAGTTGATTCTGGGAGAGTAGGGTACAATTAGAGTATATAAATCATCTAGTAATAGATTAGTGTCTACTTTCAAACAACAATCAGTAGGGATTTGGGGGGAATGACAGAATAAAATTTTCAGTTGTGAATGTTTCTAAAGAGAAGGACTTTAGGGATCTAGTTATAAGGAATTGGCTTCCTTCCCGGGTTAATTTTCTTTAAGTACTGCAAATTTTACCACCCACTAGGAAACCATATGACTTGATTTCCTTAGCCACAAAGGGAGGAGAGAAGGGAATCTGGGCCCTGTCTCTGAGCCCATTTCTGGAGTCTACATGTTTATTCTCAATTCTCTGCTTTCTCCAATAATGTACTTCTTAGACTTTATAGGGATCTTGGTATTCTCCTAGGCAACTTTTATTATAAATTCATTACTCTCAGTCAGGTTTAGCTTATAATTTGCATTTTAAATTTTTGGCTTTTTCAAAAACTGTTCAAAGGGTGCCATAACTTTATCAAGTTATTTGCAAGTGCTGAGGCCTGCCAATTAACTCAGATGGTCATAGCGGCGGCAGCTTCCCTTCTCATCAGCAAGGCTGAGTCACTCACGAGCTCCCGCCTCTCGAGGGCCAAGTGATTCACCAGCCAAGGTGCTTTGCAAGCTGGGGTGAGGAGCGTAGGATACTAGGCTTCCTTTTCACTTTCTTTCCTTCTGCTGATATAGATGTGGATTCTCTAATAGCACCTTTTTTTTTTTTGGTTTTTTTTTTTTTTTTGTTTGGTTTCTTTCCAAAATAATTTGTACTTGTTTTAAGAAGTTCAAACTGCATGTACTTATGTAATGCACAAAGTGGGAATTTCTCTCCAGAGAAAGTACCTTTGTTTTTGTTTTTTTTGAGAAAGTCACTTTTAACAGTTTGGTGAGTTGATGTTCCTCCGGGTAATTTTTCTTCAGAAATGTTGACATTTCATTTATGGAAAGGATTGTGCTCATACGTAATCTCTTGCAACTCGCTTTTCTTTCCTGGCAATATATTTCGAAGATTTTTCCATTTAATGTATGTAGGTCCGTCTCATGTTTAACATATCACCTGGGTTTCCTTGGTGTTATCAGAAATTACTGAATTAGTCCTCTCTAGGCTGAGTATAGGTTCCTGCTAAAGCAGATCCCAGACCACAACTTGAACGCAAACGAGCTATTAAGGAGAGGACTGCAGGAAGCCACAGAGAGGGACAGGGGAAGTGAGGTAAGAGCGGGAGGCAGTTCACTGAAGGATGTTTGATGAGTGGTGTCTGCAGTCCTGGAGGGTCCCGAAAATCACCCTCCAGGTCACCGATTCACTAGAAGGACCCACAGGACTCAACAAAGCTTTTACACTTGCAACCACTGCTTGTTAGGACAAGAGGATCCAGACTGCAACCGGCCAAGTGAGAAAGTTGCTGCTGTGGTCTGAATGTTGATTCCGCCCCAAAATTCATACACAAAACCCTAATCCCCAGTGTGCTGGCATTAACACTGGGGGCTGTCGGGTAGTGATGAGGTCAGACGGGCTCCGCTCTCATGAAGGGGATCATTGGCCTCGTAAAAGGAGCCAAAGAGCAGGGAGTGCTGCATTTTCCCTTTCTCTGTGTGACACCACGACAAAAACAGACATCTATGAAGCAGAGAGCAGGCCCTCACCAGACACTAGATGCGCTGGCATCTCGATCTTGGACTTTTCAGCCTCTAGCAGTGGCTCGGCAGCCCATTTCCATTGTGTGTACATCACTGAGTTGATAGTGATTTGTTGTAGCAGCCCACACAGACTAAAAAGCAGGTAGGGCTGTGTGAAGGAGAGCCCAGGCACGAGCCTCTGCTTCTCTTTCCCCGGTAGACTGAAGTGACCTATGCTCAATTCTCCCAGCACCGACAGGTGGCAGTGCGCTCAGATTACCAACCAGGGAAGCTCACCAGCACCTTGGTGCCTGGGACCTGTGACGGGGTCACTCACATAGGCATGGCTGACCATCTACATGGTCGGTCACAGGAGCCTCTTTAGAATCGAGCTGATATCGACTGGCTCGAGGCACCTACCCCACGTGAGACTGCAGACACGGACAAGTGGGCCTGGTGCAGGCGGAGTACCCTGGGTGACCGGGGTAGGACGCGCTCAGCAGAAGCTGTGAGTAGCCAGCAGGAGGGGCTGAGGGGCTGGGTGGAACACCGACAGCTCCAGCTGTACTTCCTCACGGAGATTGTGTCATCTTCAGTTCTGCTTTCTTACAAATAATGCAGTAGATCAGAGGTCAACAAAATTCACTGTAAAGAGCCAGACGGTAAATATTTAAGGGCTTAAGGGCCACATGACCTCTCTTGAAATTAGTCTGTGGTCTAAATCCAATCTATTCATATGTCAGAGTCCCCGCTCCCAAACTATGAGATGCCCTCAGGATTGGGACTAGTGCCTTTATAAAAAGAGTCTCCAGAGGACACATTGAGAAGACCTCATGTGTGAGGAAGAAGGATCTCACCAGAAACCAAATTTGCCAGTGACCTGATCGTGGATCTCATAACCTCTAGAACTACAAGAAGTAAATTTCTATTGTGTATAAACCACCCAGTTTATGGCATTTTGTTATGGCAGCCTAAACAGACTGAGACATTAACCTTGCCTGAAAGCACAAAAGCAACATTATGTAAGCAAATGGATTTGGCACTGTTCTAATAAAAGTTTATTTACGAAAACAAGGGGCAGAAGAAATTTGGCTTCGAGGTTCTACTTTGCCATCTCCTGTTATCTAAAATATTCGTGTGTGTGTGTGTGTGTGTGTGTGTGTGTGTGTGTGTTTCCATTAGTGCAGATAGAGCTATGGGATATGTTCCTAGAAGTGGGTGCTCTGGATGGCAGGTTAAGACATTTTTATTTTGAAAAGGTAACCCAAAAGTGGAACCACCTTGGTCTTTCATCAGCCACACTTGAGAGTGCTTGATATTTCCTTTCTTAAAACGCCTTTCCAAAGAGTACAAAACCTATGGGAGGGACCCTGTTATTCATTGCCATTCTCAAGCTTTGGATAGAACATTTTGCCCCAGAGAAGAAAACCAGTGGAACCCAAAAAGGTCCCATAATAGTGCATCTTGTTTTACATTTGAACTCTACGGGGAAGGGGACTCTGGTAACTTGTTCTCATTTGGGAAGATCAAACCTTACCCACTAGGCAGGATTCCAAAAGACCCTGAGTATTACCTATTTTTTAAAAGTGTTTTCCCCCAACAGTATGTGAGAATACTTCAGCAATGTCCTTTATTAAGCTAAGATTCCATTCCTAATGCCTGCCTTCTGTTGTAAGGGATTTTCATGTAAATGAGATCCACTTGTGCATTCTGAGCACATTATTGAAGGTACAAAAAACATACGTGGTCTAATTTTTCTCCACTGACAAGTACTGGACACCTTTGACAAAGATGAAACAGTGTTTTACTTGCCCTAGTTTACTAGGTCTTTTTGATTTTAGATGTTGGATAGGTTCTTATTTTTGTTTTTCCTCTTTTCTCTTTTCCCCTGTTTTCACCATTTGGAATTCTTGGTGTGAATCCCACAGAGGAGAACAGAGGCTCGTGAGCATTCAAGTTCTGTTTTAGGCTGCATATTTTAGCTGTTTTATTTGATCGTCAGCTTCCCTCCTGGGATCCAGCCTGCCTTTGCTCGGCTCGTGCTGAGTGAATCTTTGATATTTCCCGTTCTCTAGCCCTTCATTTGTAACACAGGCACAGTCCTCTTCCCCATTAGTGGGATGGCATGCTTGTACTACCCACGTGCAGAAAAAGAATTAGGCAGAACTTGGCTAGGAAGATAAATCAAGCTAACCATCAGTTTCCCGTTCTCTAGCCCTTCATTTGTGACACAGGCACAGTCCTCTTCCCCATTAGTGGGATGGCCTGTGCTACCCACGTGCAGAAAAAGAATTAGGCAGAACTTGGCTAGGAAGATAAATCAAGCTAACCATCTCATTAGGCTTGAAAGACACAAATTGAGCTTGTGTTGGAGTTTAACGGAGAAGACTTCCGAGGAGACGTGTAATAACATGGGGTGAGAGAAATGGCCCCAACCATTTCTCATGGCAAACGGAGACAGAGGAAATGTGAGCAACACAGGAAACATGACATCTCTTTTATGAAAGGTCAACTGACAAAAATTCAGAATCAAAATGGCAGTGTAATACTTACTGAGCACTTATCACTTGCCAGGTACTGTGTGCTGAGAGCACCACATACATTGTTTCATCAAAACCCCACAATGACTGGTGAGATAAAGTACTTCTAAGAATCCTCTTTAACCAGTGAGGAAACTAAGGCTCAGAAAGGTTACCTGGCTTATTCAGAGTCTAAGCGCCCAGCCAAATGGCAGGGGCAAAATTCACCTCAGAATGTCTGGCCCTATAGCTTAACCCTTGCAGTTCTCAGCTGGAACGTGCTACCCCCTGGGAGACATCTGGCCACATCTGGAGACATTCTGAGCTGCCACAGCTTGAGGTGGAGCCTGCTACTGCTGTCTAGCGGGTAGGGATCAGTGATGCTGCTAAACATCCTACCGCGCACATGAGAGCCTTCTACAGCAAAGGATTACTCAGCCCGGAATGTCATCTGTGCTGCCACTGAGAAACTGCTCACCCACCAACAGCTCAGGGTCCCACTAGAGTTACCATTTAGGGCTCTGTAGTCAGAGCGGGAGGCCCTGGGAATAGGTTTCTATTACATATTGCAAATGGCACAGCTGCTTGACAAAAGGAACAGCCAAAGCAGAGGAAGGGAGGTAGAGACCCACCTGACATGGTAAGGGACAGCAACAGACATGTGTGGCGGTGACAGACTCACAAGAGAATGAGAGGAGAGAATCATGGAATTCTCGAAAAAAGAAAGAGTTCCCAAAGCAGTGATGCCATCCTTGCAGTTGAGGAAAATATAGACTAATGGCCTCTGTCTTGTCCCTGTTCCATTTCCCTCTTACCTCTCCTCTCTTCTTCTCTGGCTCCCTAGTGTTTGGCCACAACATGAAGAGCAGCAACGACTTCATTGGCAGGATCGTCATTGGCCAGTACTCCTCAGGGCCCTCGGAGTCCAACCACTGGCGACGGATGCTCAGTACCCACCGCACAGCTGTGGAGCAGTGGCACAGCCTGAGGTCCCGAGCCGACTGTGACCGCGTGTCTCCGGCTTCCCTGGAAGTGACCTGAGGCCTCGGGAAAGGCAGCCTTCTTTTGTGAAAGGCAGAAGAAAATGTGTCGCGTTCCTCTTACGTCCATATCTGCATACACACTCACGCACACGCACGCACGTTCTAAATCCTCTTAGAACTCAGAGGAAGCAGACTTTTCATCACCAAGTAGCCACTCTTGCTGAGCAAAGCCTGAGAACTTTCCAGAAGCCCCGTCCATATATATCCTGAGCCAAGTGGGCTCTGCCCTGGGACTTCTTGGCAATGCCTGCTGTTGTTCATACCCCGTCCCAAAATGCACTTTCTACCCCCAGGCCAGAGAAAGGGCCTGCCAAAGGGAGCCAGACACTCTCAAGACTGAATTTACTAAAAGAGTGGCTAGTGTTTGGGAGGCCCGATTGCCCACTCCCAAAACACGTACCCACTGGGTAGCTTCTGAACTGGCAATTGCTCCTGGGGTTCTTCTGACCTGATACCTTTCTCCAAAGGTGTAAGTGTCTTTGTCTTCTCCTTAGTAAATGAAATAAATAGGCTAGACTATTTGGAGAAACCAAATGGCGACAAAAAAATAATCCAGTGTAAGAAAGGTCTCCTGGCTTAACTGGTTTGTCCTTGTGTTAGCTTGTTTCAGGGGATGCCCTGTGGGTGTGTATGTGTGTATATGTTCTCATCCGTGTGTGTGTGTTGTGTATGTGTGCCCTCACAGGTGAACACGTGTGTGCCTACATGTGCTCTTGGAGAGAAAGTGGTGGCTGGAACCTCTACCCTCGGCACTCCTGTCTTACTGCCTCTCCCATCACAGTGTCCTGCTGTCTGTCCACGCCCCCACTTGGAGTAATGGTACTGTGTCCATAGTGGGTAAATATGGTAGAGCAAAGGCAGCATTTTTTGAACTGAGTCGTGGTGATTGTGACTCGCCAAGGACTTGATACCTGGAACACAGTGGCCACCATACCCCATGTATGATGATCCCCTGCTTTATCATCATGCTCTGAGGGTCTTTTCTGTGTTTGTGCGTGAACCAAAGTCCTATCTCATGTGCTGAGGAACTGTTTTGTATTTAGAATAGATCTCTCTCTTTCCTCGTTGGACGCTTCTGTGTCTTTTCCACAGCATACTGTCAGTGTCATGGGGAGCTATTTATTGAAATTAAAGATTATTTATTTGTTCCATGCATTCGAGTCATCTTTTTTGCTTATAAATGCGGGACATAGAGTAAAGGAAGGTGTTTTGGTTACTACGGCTCCATAACTAGCCCAGTGATGTTTACTGTGCTCATGGACTTTGTGGATCAAGAATTTAGACCAGACCCGAGTGGGATGGCTTCTCTTGGTGCCCGGTGCCTAATAGCAAACTACCAACACCCTCAGCTGGAACGCTGCAGGGCTGGGACGTGAAACCTCAGGAAGTTTGTTCCCTCCTGCCTCTGGAAGGTTATGCTGGTGGACGTCAGCTCCTCCATCGGCCTCCTCACATGGTCTCTGTGGGAGAAGTGCAGCCTTCCTCACAGTGCTGCTGTGGGCTTTCAAGGACAGACACCCCAAAAGCAAGAGAGAGCTGGGTGGAAGCTGTCTCCTGTTTTATCCTCAGAAATCATACACAATCACTTGTGTCATATTCCTTTGGCCGGAGAAGTCACAGCCCGTGCTTGGTTTAAGGGCAAGGGACCTTATAGGGAACGGGGAAATAGCTGCATCTTCAGAGGAGCTTGTGGACAGCGTGGTGCGTAGTGCGGCTGTCACAGTAGAGCATTAGCCAGCCAGTTGTACAGGACATTGTTGGGAACGGTAGGGTGTGGCCCCAGGAGGAAGGACAGTTGAAACTCTTCAGCCTATTTGTGTGAAAGCTGAGCGGAGAATGCACAGAAACAGTGGACAAGAGGTCGGTGTGGTGCACTGTAACCTCAACACTGGAGGGGCTAGCTGAGGAGGATCATGAGTTCGAGGCCACCTTGAGGTACATAGCAAGTTCAAAGCCAGTCTGGACTAGGCGAGACCCTGTCCCAGGGAGAGGAGACAAGGACTTATATCAGTCTCAAGCAGTAGCAAATTCATGCAGACCAGTTTAAGCAATAGAAGATCTTCTAGCTTCAGCATAGCTGGATCTGGGGGCTCCAGTGCAGCCATCGGGGCTTATTTCCCCTTCTGTGTCTTGGGCAGAACCTCCCCATTTAATGAACATCATGGTTATGAGCAGCCCGATAGGCCCAGATCACATTCCTGAGGTCCATCATCAACCGCCACTTCCTGGTTTTCCAAGACCAAAGTAACAGCTCCTTCCTGGCCTCCTCACAACGAGAAGCACATGTTCCTGTTTAACCCTCCCCCTAGCAGCTGTGCGCTGGGGAGTGTTCTCAGGCCGGCCACGCAGCACGGCGCTTCATCCTCACAGCCTGTTGATGTTGGAGCCGCTGCTTCCCCCACCCTCCAGATGATCACGCATGAGCTCTCCAACGTTAAATAGCAAGTCGCGTGTCCCACTGAAGCTGGCAAATACGCGTGCCAAGGGTGTGCCACTCGTGTGCCTGCTCCACCAGCTGTTCCAGCTTTGCTCTCCCCCGTGAAACTGCCCGCTCGTTCCGGACGAGACCATGGCTCACTCAGCTTTTTACTTGCCGTGTGCTGCTTAGGACTTGACCCAGGTAAGTCCCACACGGGCTCATCCTCCTGGCCACATGGAGCATTGCAGAGAGGAAGCTCGGGGTGCCTCCTACTCTGGAGTGGGGGTCAAGGTCAAAAGCAGGCTTAAGTTCTTGGGAGAGAAAAGAAGAGAAAGTATTTCTCCATAGAGTGACTTTCGCTGTGGTGGAACAGAAGCACACGAAAACACAGGAGAACACACAATGAGAGGGGACAAGTATATCACAGGCACTAGAGCCGGGGTCACTGCTGATTAGGCTCAAGGGCTGTCGAGCCGAGGAAGCCTCCGTTCAAGTCGCATGAAAGGCCACAACTCCTCTAGGCCTCGGTTTCTTCATTGTCTTAATGAAGAGCCCTTCAAAGGCAGACCCCAAGGAGAGGACTTTGGTACAGACAATTTATCGGGGAGGTGACCCCAAGATGCCTAAGTAGAAGACAAAAATGAGGGAAAGGAGAAAAGCCCCTGGAGTCTGTGTTCTTCAACACTGGGCAGCTGGGCCTCAGCCATGCCGGGGCCCATGTGGAAAGCACTTGGGGATTACTCATGTGGAGAAGCTGGAGGACTTAGCTGCTCACCCTTGCCCCTGAGCGTTGGTCCTGGAGGTTGTGAATGTTCAGCACTTCAGGACTGTGCAGTGTGGGCTGAGCCAGACGCGCGTGGGCTTGAGGTGAGCTGTGGGGGAACCCAGGGGCGCTGAGAGGCGGGAGGAGGTCAGCCGGGCATCTGTGGCCCTCCTTGCGGATAGGAAGGGGCTAAGTGTCGACCCGCCACACTTCATCGCTGTTCTGTTTTTACAAATAGGAACGCTAGGGTTTGCTGAGATCGAGTGGGGAGAAGGCAGCAGAGCTAGAATGCCAGCCAAGGCTTGTTGGAGGAAAGCCTGGTGTGGGCTGAAGGGTGTCTCCCTCCCCCGCCACCCCAAAAGATTTACTGGAGTCCTTTCCTGTCCTGTACCTCAGAGTGAGACCTCAGTCAGAGTCAGAGCCTTTCACAGAGATAATCAAGTTGATGCGAAGCCATTAGGGTGGGCCTTCGTTCAATGTGGCTACTGTCCTTATCCAAGAGGAGACTTGGACACAGAGACAGACATAGGGGGAAGATGGGCAAAGGGGGAAAGGCCTCCTGCAAGCCAAGGAGCGAGGTCTGGAACCGGCTGTCACTCAGCCCCGGAAGGAACCTGCCCTCAGCCTCCAGCTCCACAGCTGGGAGACAATGGATCTCTGTAGTTTAAGCTCCCCAGGCTTTGTTAAAGCGGCCCTGACAAGCTGCAGTCTACCTACAGGCACACAGATTCGGCCAACTGTGGATTGACAATAGTTTTTAATTGCAAATATACTAAACCGATTTTTTCACCCCTAAACAATGCAGTGTAATAGCTGTTTGCATTGGACTGGGTATTATAAGGAATTTAGAGAAGATTTAAACTGTTCAGGGAGTGCGCATTGCAGTAGGCGCCCTGGAGATACTACGGTGTTTTATTCATGGGACTCGGGCAAGCACGGATTGGGGTATCTGGGAGGAGGTGGCCCTGGAACCTCGGGTACCTGTATTTCAGAGCAGTCGTGACCAGTGGCTCTGCTGGGCTGTCTTGTCTGAAAGTAAGTGACAGCTCTGTAGGTTGGATGTCAGGATGTGCTGGGATGGCGCTGCCAAGTCTGTGCACACTTCTTGGCAGAGTGCACAGTGGCTGGATCTCCAGGCACCCGTCAGGTGGCCTGTGCTGGGTGACCTGCGGGAACAGTGGTAGAAGATCAGAGCCATCTCCGTCTCCAGGAATAGTTTGTCAGGAGCCGAGAAGATGTGTGGGGTGGGAAAGGGAGGGCTGAGTTTCTATAGAAACCAGACCCAAGGTGCTCCGTCGTGGGCCGTCCACCCGTCTGCATTAGCATCCTCTGCCTCCTCAGGCAGGAGGTGGGAAGAGATACATCGGCCGCTTGAAACACCCTCATTCGTGGGTGGAGCCCCAACTTCAAAGAAAAAAGGTGGTGGTTGGAAGCAGCGCTGGGGAGTTTTAAACGCCACTTTCATCTCCCAGGACCACCTGAGTCCTTCCATGGTGTGGCTGGGGAGGCACGCCCCGGGAGACTGAGGCAGGGGTATTGCTTAGTTTCAGCACAGCCTGGGCGACCTAGGGAGACCCTGGTTCAGAATTTGAAAGAATAAAAAAGGGCTGGGAGGGCCAGGGATTTAGCTCAGTGGTTCTGCCGCTTGCCTCGTAAGCACGAGATCCCAAGTCCAATACCCAGTACCAAAAAGGAGCGGGGTGCTGGGGATGTAGCTCAGAGTTAAGGCCCTGGGTTCAATCCACAGTACAAAAAAAAAAAAGAAACCTTGCCTCCTTTCTCCTCCGCAGCATCTCTGAGCTCAGGTCTATGCCAGAGCGCCATGAGAGCCCAGGCCACACCCCAGGGCTTGATCGAGCCTACTGCCCTCTGCCCAGC